TTGCGTTGATACCGCACGATATTTTAGATGAGTTTCAATATTGGTGTGCTGTTACACCATTGATCAATTTTGCTTTTGTTGAGATCCAATTTGGGGATAGAGTGTTGAGGCAATTCCACTTTCACCAACCTATTCCGCGGAGTCCATGGGATCATGACCTCCTCCAAATCTTAGATGGTCGTCGTCAGGTGAATTGGGTTGAGACGCATGACCAACTGCATAGATTTGATGGTCGTCATAAAGAAAATGTTAATTGGGTTGAGAAGCATGCAACCTACATTAATGCTTGGAACAATAGGGCTTCATTCATGCCAACTCTTGACGACATTCAAGACGACGACTTTAATTTTGAGACTTCGGCTTACCTTGCTTAGTTTTTGGATAATGGAAAGCAATTCTTGACAACAATTGTAGAGAGGCGACAATTTTTGAGGTTTAAGAAAAGATTTGGTAAAGTTGAATACTCTATACCAAGTGGAAGTGGGAGTTCATCTCAACAACTTGAAGCGGAAATGACTGATGTGGATAATAGCGCACCACAACCGTTCGGCGATGCATACATACCAGAGTTTGTGCAGCCTGATGCATCCATCTACTCTCCTATGTTTTCGTCGACGTATGACTTTGAACACACGTCAGTTCAAATGCCCCCAACGAATGAGGAGGATGGGTACCATACTCCTGAGCAACCGCAACGGCCACAACGCATCAGACGTCCGCCCCAACATTATCATTCAACAACACCCCGACATCGGCAACAATTGTAAACTAGTTTGTTATTTGTTACAAATTTAATATTGAAATTAGACTAGTTTTTTCAAACCTTAACAAATTCGACATATTTATAATGATTTTTAGTATCAAATCATTATTATAATTTCATTACTAGTTATGTAACGAAAATATGGTTAATTGAACCAAACATTGTTTATTGTTCAAGTCGTAAATCATTACTATCAAATCATTACTAAATCATTAATATCAAATCATTAAATATTAATAATAATTTCATTATTACTAATCATTACTAAATCATTAATATCAAATCATTAAATATTAATAATAATTTCATTATACTAATCATTACTAATCATTACTATCAAATCATTAAATATTAATAACATTTCATTATTACTAATCATTACTAAATCATTAATATCAAATCATTAAATATTAATAATATTTCATTACTAATCATTACTAAATCATTATTATAATTTCATTACGTAACGAAAATATGGTTAATTGAACCAAATATTGTTCATTGTTTAAGTCGTAAATCATTACTATCAAATCATTACTAAATCATTAATATCAAATAATTAAATATTAATAATAAATTATTATTATTAATCATTACTAATCATTACTATCAAATCATTAAAAATTAATAATAATTTCATTATTACTAATCATTACTAAATCATTAATTTTAAATCATTAAATATTAATAATAATTTCATTATTACTAATTATTACTAAATCATTACTATCAAATCATTAAATATTAATAATAATTTCATCATTACTAATTATTACTAAATCTTATAAATACATAGAAATACATATATCATTACTAATGATGAGGCCTATATCTTGGTAAATTAGGAAAATTATTTTTTGAATGGCCTTCACCCCTACATAATCCGCATCTCTTTGCTTGACCTCTCTCTAGCATGGAAATCCATATTGGTATGAATACGAGTGGACTCAGGTCGACCCTTTGGACTTCTGCGAAGCATTGGATTTGACAGTCATTCGTCATGATTTTTTCTGGGCCAATATGATTCATTCAGTATCTGTCTGAACGCATAGCTGTAGACATTTAATATCCTATGTAGGTGAAAGCACTCGTCAACATAAGTGTATGTGCTTATAATGGACAATCGTGAAAAAGTTGTTGCTCATTTTCTCTACAAATAAAAAAATAAATTAATTTAGATTAAAAAATTAGATAAGATAATTTATAAATCATTAAATCATTAAATATAATATAATATACTATTATATTAATGATCAAATAAAATTTGTTATTTAATTTGATTGATTGATTACTAATATTACTAATAATGATTTAATAATTATTATTAATCTAATGATTTGATAATAATATGATTTAGTCATGATTACAAATAATTATTTATTATAAATATTTAATGATTTATATTTGATACTAATCATTTAGTAATTATTACTAATAATAATGATTAGTTTGATAATATTTTTTATTTTTTAAAAATATTAAACAAATTTGTTAGGCAGAACTGTCGAGATAATGTTCTCGAAAGAATTATTTCATGAGATAATGCGTTGACCAGATTATTTCATTCAATTAATTTTTACTCCTTACTAATTTACACATATAATATAAATTAAACAAAATATTTTTAAAACAACACTAAATATTTTTAAACACAATATTTTTTAAACAGAAATTATCTCGCACAAATTATCTAATATAAACTTACTAACTAACTAATTTACACATACACAACAACTAAAAATGGACAACAAAAAATAATAAATTACCCGCGTATTTGTGCCTTCTTCCTTTCCTTTCTAACAACTAATTAAGCACTAATTAATTTTTTTATAATATAACTTTAACAAACAACCTAATATACGTTTAAAGATACTAACAAATTAATTAATTTTTTTATATTTAATAACTTAAACTAAGAAACTAATTAACTAATTTTTTATATAATATAATATATATCATAAACTAACAAACTAATATAATATAACTTAAACTAACAAACTAATTAACTAAATTTTAGTTTTACCCTAAACCCTAAGCTAACAAACTAATAATTTCAAATAATAAACTAAATTAAACAATAAAAAATTACCTCAGAAAAAATGTTTGAGCCTTTATCTTCTTTTCTTCTTCTTCCTTTTCTTTCTCTCGATAAAGTTTCTATATGTGCTGCTTCTGCTTTTACCCTAAACCCTAAACCCCCATATCCTCTATATAAAGAAAATGAGCGTTGGAGAGCGTCATTAAATTTGATTGTTGAAGCAAATAATATTGAGCATTGAATCGTGTAACTATTGAGCGTTGAAAGGCTGCAATTCAACAGCAATATTTGTTGCATTTAGCAGCTAAATTAACGCTTATGGATGCAGGAATCTCCCAGCTATGGATGCAACGCATGCATGAGGGAACAGAGGGTTAAAGCTTGGCTACAATCTCCCAGCTATGGATGCAGGAATCTCCCAGCTATGGATGCAGGAATCTCCCAGCTATGGATGCAACCCATGCACGAGGGAGCAGGGTTAAGTTTGGTCGTCAGCAGGGATAAGTTTGGTCGCCAGCAGGGATAAGTTTGGTCCTAAGCTTGGTCGCCGGGACTGCTTGGCGACCTACAAGGTCGCTGGGAGTGCATGGCGACCTTGTAGGTCGCTGGGAGTGCATGGCGACCTACAAGGTCGCTGGGAGTGCATGGCGACCTGTGTTGGGGTGTTGGGGACGTGCATGGCGACCTGTGTTGGGGTTTTGGGGACGTGCATGGCACATGCAGACACCCATTATCTCTGTGCAGCTCCCGGGAAGCCATGGCGACGTAGTAGGTCGCCCGGAAGGCATGGCGACCTACGGCCACACTGTTGATTTCACCCTATTTCAGGAAATAATATAGGGAGTGCATTAGATCGTGAATTATTTATTTTGAAAGCATTATATGTGAGTTTAGCCATCAGCCGAAATCTCACATTCCTCCAACCAAACACACCCTTAATATCATAAGAATACTTGAATATCACCTTATTATCGATAACACACAAAAATCATCATCCTTCCTCCTCATTAGAGACTGAAGTCTAAATATACAACATTATTTTGTCTCGCCAAAGATCAAAGCCTATTAAAAACCCATACAAAAGTATGAAATCCATGACTTGTCAATTGCATCTGAGAATCATCTAAATGATCAAGGGCTCGAGTGGGAAGTTAGTTTTAAGTTTTTCTCGTACACAAAAATTATTATGTGTTACGAAGATATCACAACCTCTCGAAGATATTGAAGTAAATTCTTTCTTGTTAAATCTATGAGAAAGATAGTGTAAATGTAATTTCTTTCAAGCTTTGAAGTACCTATACCGCATGTCATAACTATTTGTTTAAATGTCAATATCGATTATAAAAGATATGTTGATCATGTATGCCCGCTTTCATAGGTGTTCAAGGTACACGAATAAGAGTTCCAATAGTAGACGATAGAAAAGAATAGAATGAGGCTTAAACTTCGTATACAATTATTTCATATCTCATGTTATGTAAAGACTTTTCAAATCATCTAAAATCAATCATGATTCATGATGATATGGATATATGAGAGAAGATCAGTGAACTTAAAATGATGTGAGCACTGTAAAAATTCAGACCATGATGAAAAAAATAGTATTTTTTAATATTTTTCAACCGTTAACCACAATCACATTGCCTTAAACCCTAAAAAATACTCAAGTAAAAATCCTAAACCATTGTACCTAACTGGACATAACCCAAAATAATAATTTATAAATGCCTAAACCCGTAAACTCTAAATATCTCAAAATGTCCACAATAAAAAACTTAAAATTTAAACCATAAACTACTAATCTAAAATTAAAAATTATTATAAAATTAGAGTTTAGAAAGTGCTTTCTATTTTCCATGTCTATTAAAAGTTTTTTATATAAAAAAATTAAAAATGAGTATCATTTTAAGAAGTAATTAGTAATAGTATTTTTTTCTATATCTTGAGTAAGAAGTCATAATACTAAAGTGATGAGTGATTTGGACTTTTGGCCGGTTCAGCCCTAAGCTGAGTATGAACCAACCAAATTCATGTGGCCCCAAATCTCCACATCAGCTCGCTCTGGCCCAACGCTATCGTTGAAACCAGTCACTTGATACATTCCCACCAACAGGATCATCCCTTATGCTATCCCCTTATCCTACATCTTGTTACTTGCCACAAAATATAGGTTCCTCCACACAAGAGATCTCCTTATCCTATCCCCTTGTTTTACATCAAAATAATTCCCACAAATATAAGTTTTTCTTCAACACAAAATACAGAAATTTTGTAAAAAAAAAAACCTGAACCATGACAGCCTCACTACAAGCAGCAGCAACCCTGATGCAACCGGCCAAGGTTGGTGTGCCATCTAGGACTGGCGTACCGCCGCTCAGGTCCTCTCCGAGCGTTTCTAAGGCCTTTGGTTTGCAGCCTGTGGGTGCTAGGATGAGTTGCTCTTTGAAAACTGAGTTTAAAGACTTGGCTCAAAAGTGTGTTGATGCTACCAAGATTGCTGGTTTTGCTCTTGCTACTTCTGCTCTTGTTGTGTCGGTATAGTTCTTCCTTTTGCTTTTCGTTTGATTTTGGAATTCGGTTAATTCGTTTTGTGATTAAAGGAGCCTTGATTTTTGAAGGGAGCAAGTGCTGAAGGAGTTCCAAAGAGGCTAACCTATGATGAAATCCAGAGCAAAACGTATATGGAAGTAAAGGGAACTGGAACTGCTAACCAGTGCCCCACCATCGACGGTGGTGTCGACTCATTTGTCTTCAAACCAGGCAAATACTACGCCAAGAAATTATGCTTAGAACCCACTTCTTTCACCGTCAAAGCGGAGGGCGTTAGCAAGAATGCTCCCCCGGAGTTCCAAAACACCAAGCTCATGACCCGTTTAACCTACACCCTCGACGAAATCGAGGGTCCTTTCGAAGTGTCCCCTGACGGAACTGTCAAATTCGAGGAGAAAGATGGGATCGATTACGCTGCTGTCACGGTCCAGCTCCCTGGTGGCGAGCGTGTGCCGTTCCTTTTCACTATCAAGCAACTGGTTGCATCAGGCAAACCCGAGAGCTTCAGTGGAGACTTCCTTGTACCCTCCTACCGTGGTTCATCTTTCTTGGACCCAAAAGGCAGGGGTGGTTCCACCGGTTACGACAACGCCGTCGCCTTGCCTGCTGGTGGAAGAGGAGATGAAGAAGAATTGGCCAAGGAGAACAACAAGAGTGTTGCTTCTTCATCGGGGAAAATCACTTTGAGTGTTACGAAAAGCAAGCCCGAGACTGGTGAAGTGATCGGTGTGTTTGAGAGCCTTCAGCCATCGGACACCGACTTGGGTGCCAAGACTCCGAAGGATGTGAAGATCACCGGTATCTGGTATGCTCAGCTCGACTCATAGAGTGGTTATCAAATCTTTGTATAATTTGAGTTATGATGTTTGCTACAATTTCATGTAATCCGGTGAGAAGCACACTGAGCTTATTATCTTTTGTATATTGGCTTCTTCTAATGACGTTTTTATTATGTTCAACATCTTTTTTCATGTCCGACAAGTACTTCACCTAAGAATCTTGTCTATATTGAACATATGTCCACACACTTGGACAACTTTCTTACCGGAAGTATTATGCTTAAAAATTTGGGTTACGCACCAAATATCTGAACTTGGTAACGAGGCCAATCCAGATGTCTACTGATCCAAATTTCTTGTAAAGATGTAAAGAGATGAAAGGGTGTCGGAGTTTGATTTCCGAGACGGCTATATTGAAAAGAATAGCTTTGATCGACCCATGTTTAACATATTTACACCTAATCGAAATCTCTCGTGAATTGTCACGTGTCAAGTACTCATTGGTGTTTGGTTCGATAATACGAATGATCTCTCTCGAAATCAAGGTGATGACATCCAGAGATCTAGGCTGTTCTCATGGTTTTGGAATTAAAATTTGGAGGAGGGAAAAAGTTACAATCCTCCACTGCCTTCATCCAAGAAAACCGCATTCATGATGTTCAAAGTTAAAAAAGAATAAAATTGTAAAGAGGCTAGAAGATAAATTCCTTTTTGAGATCTTACCCTGCTTCTAAATGCAACACAATTTTGTACAAACTTAAACCCAATTTTCTTTGGTAGAGAAACATAAAGAATAAAAAAAAAATATTTCACTACGATATTATCTTACAAGCATGGAGATTTTGAATTTTTCACCATGAATTGATGAAAAAAATCCAAAAGAATGTGAACAAACCAAATTCTCTGCTGTGGTTAACAATCACCAAATTTTCTGCATCAGTTAACATTTCGTATACAGAAGTTACAAACAGTTTTCACGCCCAAGGCAGCGGTGATTGCTTTGTCCGACCACCTCCCTGCCGTTTATGTTTTTTCTTAGTATATTGTTGTTCGATTTTATTATTTTTCAATTGTATTTTAACGTATTTATAATAATATTTTTTTTCTAGATTCTTTCCTTAATAAAGGATAGCATAACTATCGACATCTTTAAAATTTCAGTACAGGTTTCTTCCATTGATTTGCTTCTTAGTCTCTGTTTCTATGAACATCCTTGGTTATTTGCTTTCTTGATGTCCGATTTCTTCTTTCACTTGTATATGATATTATTATGGTTTCCGGATATATGTGTTGGTTAGTGTTTTTTTAGAAAGATATTGATTTCTTCGTTCACTATGAGTTTACCGTGCAGACTAGATATTCTATTGTCTATTCAATTTATGGTCTCGCTCTTCTCATGATGTCATCTCTTGGTCATGTTTTCTTTTATATGGGTCACGGCTTCTGTTTGACGATTAGTCATTTGTACTCCCTCAGTTCATCTTGTGATGATATGATGAGATTGTGATTAAAGAGGGATTGATTTTGTAACACCCCAATCCGTATCCGACCCGAATACGAATCTGAGATGTCACATTGACTTTTTAAAACAATATTCATATAAAATAACAGAATATTTGAACTTATATTAATAAAATATAATCATATATTGTTAAATTATGTTTATTAAAACCAATTCGAAAAAATACGTTTTCATGAACAGTAAAATATGGTATGAACAGTACCGTATGAACAGTACTGAACAGTACCATAAACAGTACTACAGTGCACTGATGCACTCAAAGCAAAATTGATGGACTGCTACAGTGGCTTTCGTAAAACGTTCGTAAAACTCGTAAAAATTTAATCGTTCATTACTATACATTTACATAAATACGTTTAAAACATTACAAAACTTGATCAGAACATAAATACTTAATTTAAAGACTTTGTTACATGCCAACCTATTTAACACATAGTAATGTATACTCTTTAATCTACTTCTGATCTGAACTTCAAGCGGAGATATGTTGTTCTACTGAGCTTATAATGAATCTCTCTGCTTTTCAGTACTTACGTGTAAAACACTTACACGTTAAGTCATAGACTTAGTGAGGCATAAACATATAATAAAGAATTTCTATAATTATAAACATTTAATCAAGTATCTAATAACAATTATACATATTACATTATAAATTCATACTGTCATATAAGAATCAGCATAAACAATAATAATATTTTATCATGTAAACCTGTACACACTCTTTACATCTTTTATAAGCCCATGCACACTATTGAAAACTCAAGGTATACGAGTACGATGAGGTTATGTACACTTATGTTGTCACCATATCTCATATAAAATCCACTAAGTGACATATGAAATCTATGTCCCGGAGGACCTATCCATATGTTCCTAAGAACATAGGTAACTGTCCATATGTCCCGAAAGACATAGGTAATCTTGTCCATATGTCCCGAAAGACATAGGTAATCCTATCCATATGTCCCGAAAGACATAGATAATCCTCGACTCTTAGCATGTCAACTATACCTATAGTTCTCATATCATATAACATGTATAATAGTTTTTATTATTTCACAGATGTTCATGTAACTACTTATGTCATATCTTGTTCACAAATATTCACATATACTTTTTCTTTATATATCTCATGTCCTATTTCCTATCTTGTAATCATGTAAGCACATCACTTACTTCCCCATACTCATAGAGACACATGTTTCATTTCCATATTTCAACCACTTTCATATCCTTAACTTACATACACCTACTTAAAACAATTAATACTCCTTCAACACTAATCTAACTTCAAATTACCATCCTCTAGATGGAATTCAAGAATCATACTAAATTTTTCCATGTAATCCAAACTTATTTCTAACACTTATAGCTTCTTACTCACACCTATGACAAGTCAAATTTAACTTCTAAATTCATTTATACATCTTTATTCAAAATTTCACTTATCCTCTTTTTATCTTTAATTCTTCATAACTTACAAATCTTTGAGTTTCTATGGCATTTTCATCTCTATCATGTTCCTAAGTCTTCCTTAACCAAAACCATAATTAAATTTTAAGAATTAACCAAAAGAAATCAAACTCACCTTGGCTATGAGGCTTCACGGTTGAAAGAAGAGAAGAAGTTGAAGAAGATAAGCTGGAAACTTATCTCCTCAATTATGATTCACATGGGTATTATAATACCCACTAATTATTATTTTTTTCTTTTATTTGTTCAATGACCCTTTTACCCTTTTACTTCTCATTCACTTATTAATTCATCCTAAACCAACATCTTTTAATTAATTCCTTCACTTTTCAATTTATTTAATCTGGTCATTGAATTTTAAAATCTTACACTTTAATCACTAACCCGGTATTGAGGATGTTATAGATTTTTCATTGTTTATTTTGGATACACTCCAGATTGTTCAGGTTATTTTTATTTATTTAGCTTTCATTACTTGTTTACTGTTATATTTTATTTATGATTGTCTTGAATTTATTTCGGATATGATTCTAGATAATACCTTTTATTTAGGGCTAATGCAATTGACGTACTTATTTCAAAAAGTAATGTAAACAACTACACTTTCTTCCTGCAAATGTTATTTCGGGTCTTATGATGGTATGGTGTGTCTTGGTTTCATGAAGCTGAAATCTGAATTTATATATATATTATATGTATACATCGTAAACAATAGGTTACGATTTACGAAACCGATGCAACGAATAGGGAAGTTCAACGGAATTAAATTTTTATTATTAATCTGAATTATTAACCTGAGATACCCCTGGTTCAAGTCCTGGAATCGGAATTAATTTTTTATTATTAATTTATCCATTTTGCAAAACTTTTGCATGGATTGCTTCACGGTATCAGTTGAAAACTTGAAATTTGTCATGTATTTATCCTTGTCTTGTATCAGTTTAAAATGCTTCCATGCAAAGAAATCAAACATCTATGTCTTAGCTAAAACAGCAGAACTTGGTGTAAAATAAAACTAGAAATGAAAATTCCATCACCAGAACTTAAATTCGAGCCTTTCCGGTGAAAGTTGAATACTCTATCCAACTAGACAACGTGGATTTGTAATGTTGGAATGAAAATGAGTTATGGTGAGGCAGCATACCTGTCTGCCAGGGGATCATCCCGAGCTAGTAGGGTAGTTCGGCCACTGAGCCTTGTTTATTAGTCCAATAGAATATAATGGAATTTATAAGCATGCTGTGTGAGGCTTGTTATCCGAGAGTAACAATCCAAGACAATAATGGAACATGAGAAAAGAAAAAGTAAAGAAAAGAATCAAATTTTTTATAAATAAAAAAGAACCATAAATAAATAAAATACTCTTTATATTTGATCTTGTGATCGGAATCAATTGAGACATATCGCTACACAGTTTCTATAAGATATATTTTCAGACACTCTTTGGTGCTCGAGATCTTTTGGTCGTCTTCCTTCCAGGATACAACAACTTGATGATTAGCTACAATAGCACAACATTAGAGATCACGAACTTTCCTTACCTTCGACTATCACCGGAAAAACTAAGGGAGAAAAGAATATTTTCTGAAAAGGAGAGAAAATATTTTCAAGAGAAAAAAACTTCTTGAATTATGAGATGTGAAAAAACCAATGTTTTCAAAACCGGAACGGACATTGAACCGGTGAAGGTACTGGTTCACTGGTTCACTGGTTCAACCGGATTCAATCGCGGTTGAACTGGATTTTATATAAAATAATATTTTTTTAATTTTACATAATATTCAAAGCAATATTAATATATATATATGTAACATTTTTTTTAAGTTTACAATATTAAAAGGTATAAAAATATCACAAGTCATAACATGTATAAATTAAAATCCATAAAATCAAGTGAAACAAAATGATTCAAATCAACTGCAACATAATATTTAAGGTAAAACATATTAAATAATAAATATAATTATATAACTATAATCAAAAAAATAAAATTGGGGTTTAAAAAAATCATAACAAATGATGTCATTTGGTTTAATTGTTTTAAAAAAAACAATCCCACATGGCTAAGAAACATAGAAGAGCATCCCAACTTACTTCTATAAATAATAAAGATAATTTGACATTCAAAATCATGGAGCCTTTTGGTGAGCACAAAGCGAACTATTCTTTCGCTTCAATTGAGCTC